TAGGAGGTGCTTTATGATAAAAATGCCTCACAAAACTATATAATCTTTATTACATATTATATATATACCCCTGTTTTAGCCAAACAAAACACTCATTCTTTGTTTGTAAGTGTGAATATACCCCAGAAGTTAAAAGTCATTGCTCCTAAGAAATGAGATTAAATGAAAGGAAGACTTTTACTTCTTTATATATTTGTGTGTTCTTTGCATTTTGAACAAAAACATATACATGCCTTCTAGACTCAGAGAAATTCTTTTTTTTTTTAAGAATAGCATCCGAAAGGCTGTTCACGGGTCTCCTGTCCACACGGGTTGTGACAGAGCCTTTTGTCCCCGTGGGTCTCTGCGGCCGCAGCCCAGCCTCGGGCTCTCTGTCCCTGGTGCGCGGACCCCCCAGATCCCTGCTCTGCCCTCCCACCTCTCTGCTCTCCAGCCGGGGCGCCTTTGCCCCCCAAGCCCTCGGCTTGCTTCCTCTCCATCCTCGAGACCTAGGTTCATGAGCCACTTTCTCCGAGAGGCCTTCCCCCGCTGAAGCCAGGATTACGGGGTTCTCCCGCGGAACCCTGTTAACCACACTGACCGCAGTTCCCCTGAATGGAAATTTTATTTTTTCCGTGGTTTCTGCAACCAATGCAAACCATGGGCTCAAGAGCCGAGTTTGCCATTGCCATTGCCCCTCCACTGTGGCTGGCACAGAGCTGGTGCCTGATACGTGCTCCGTGAGAGGGGCGAGCGGTGGATGTGTCTCCTCAGGAGTGGGACACGGACCCCCCCCACCCCCCGCTGTCTCATCGCCAGAAGCTGCGCACGTACGTACTAGGGCCTGGTGTGAGGCCGCCTGTGAACTTCGTCTCAACATCTGTCTGACTCTAAAATTGAGGGCCTCAGCTTCACGGACGAGCTCAGAAGGGTCTCGTGTTTGGTTTAATGCTCTGCTGTCACCACGTTGAAATTCTGAGTACTTTTTTAACAGGGACCTTGCATTTTCATTTTGGCCCCAGGAGATCATGGAACTGGCCCCAAAGCCGTTTGTGCACTCACGGCAGCGATGGGGGCTCGGCTGCCGCTGGAAGCTCCTCTGGATCAGACGGCACAGACAGCGCGCCCGCTGGGGCTGTGGGTCACAATGGGCGCGCCGTGTCGTTGAGTGTCTAACTGATGGCCGAGCCCCTTGTGCCCAGAGGTCAAATTCCCTCTAAGCAGACCCTGCTTCTGGTGACCTCAGACCTCGTCTTAACCTTTCACTTAAAAAAAATTTTTTTTTTTTGCCCCGGCTGGTGTGGCCCAATGACCTGAGTGCAGGCCTGCAAACCAAAGGGTCAGCGGTTCGATCCCCAGTCAGAGCACAGGCCTGGGCTGCAGGCCAGGCCCATAGTAGGGGGCACACGAGGGGCAACCACACATTGATGTTTCTCTCCCTCTCTTTCTGCCCCCTTTCCCCTCTCTAAAAATAAATAAATCTTAAAAAAAAATTTTTTTAATTTTTCAATTGCGGTTGATGTACAATATTATATTAGTTTCAAGTGTAGAACGTAGCCGTTAGACATTCATATAACTTACAAAGCGGCCGCCCCTATAAGCCGGCACCCACCTGGCCCCGTGTGGCCTAATGACAGTAGCGCTGCCCGCCCCCCTGCGCCGCGCTGCGCGGCCCCGCGGCTGCTCCCGAACTGCCAGTTTGCACTTCTCGGGCCTTTACCTTCCTCGCCCCTCCCCCAAGCCGCCTCCTGTCTGGCGACTGTCGAAGCTCTCTCTGTATCTATGGGTCTGTCTCTGTTCTGCTTGTTTGTTTATGTTGTTCTTTAGATTCCACATACAAGTGGAATCATCTGACATCTGTCTTCCTCTGACTTAGGTCACTCAGCGCGGTGGCCTCTAGGCCACCATGTTGTTGCCGACGGCGAGAGGTCATTCTTTCTCATGGCCGAGCCATATTCCACTGTGTATGTGCGCCACTTCTTTATCTGCTCGCCTACTGACGGATGCGTGGGTGGCTTCCATATCTGGACTGTTGTAAATAACGCTGCAGTGACTATATGGATGTGTGTGTCTTTTCAATTTAGTGTTTGTGGTGTCTTTGGATAAATACCCAGAAGTGGAATTCCTGGGTCCATCTTTGTCTCTTGTGATAGCCTCTGTTTTAAAGTCTATTTTTTAATCGCTTCACTTTTAATAAAGGGAAAGGAAGCCCATTCTGAGAGTAGATCAGAACTGGAATTTTTACACTATCGGCATCAATAAAAGGTACCTCTTTTGTTGTTTTGGTAGAACTTCCTGTAGGATATATCACCTAACATTCATTACAGCTTTTATGCAACTGTTTCTGACAGACCCTGAAAAAGAGGAACAAACCTTTTCTTCCAAATCGATTACATATTTCCCGTTCCAGGTAGTTTACCTGATTTTTGTCAGCAAAGTAACCTTCCCCTTCCTTACTATTTCTGAAGAAAGCTTCTTGCTAAGATTTCTTTTTCATCACATCCTAGGAACCCAAAAAGGGAAGCAAAATTAGAGTCGAGTCTGTGTTTGGGTTTTTCTTTTGATTTGCTCTGGCTGCGTCTTAGTGAGAAACTCTACCCGCCAGCAGCTGGTGAATTTTTGGGACCTTTTCCCATGGAGGGGAAAGTCTTATGAGTCATTTAACATAGGTTCACACACACACAGGCATGAACTCACTTTGGGAACCATTTTTATTAAAATGAAGCAACAAAGAGCAGCCCAGGAAAGAATTAGAACTAAGAATGGAGTTAAAAGCAGAAGTGTGGTTTTCACAAATTTCTAGGAGGAAGGTACGTGCTTCTTTGATGCTGATAAAAATTCTGCCCTGGTCGGTGGCTCGGTTGGTTCGAAGGTCGTCGCCACACGCCGAGGCTGCGGGTTTGATCAGGGCACCTACAAAACTCAACCAGTGAGCGCACCAGTACGTGGAACAGCAAATCTCGCTCTCTCCCCCCTCCGCCCCTACCTTCCTCCTTCCTCTTCCCTTTTCTAAGGAAAGGAAAAAAAAAAATCCCCACCTTCACTCCTCCCCAGGCACCTGGGAAGCAGAAGAATTCAGGGAACAGTGCAGTGGCCACTCAAGGGCCCTGGACCCAAAAGGAAATTACTTCTGTGCCTCAGTCTCTTTATGTGTAGTTTGTGAACATAAAAAGCCATCGAATGGAGCACTTCCTGCAACTCCCTGTGCTTCGCGCTTTCCGTGCAATCAATCATGCATTCAAACGTTTTTGAGCACCTACTATGTGTAGCCACTCTTTGGACACTGGGGATATAACTGCGACCAAAGTCCCCATCTTCAGAATCTTCTGTTCGTTGAATCTGCCCAATGACCTTCTGGACTCCGTCTTACTGCTACCCCCATTTGACAGATGTGGAAATTACAGCTAAAAGTGGCCGAGCCTGCCCCAGCTCAGGCACCCGCTGGCCGGCCAGGTGGGGGTTCATGCTTCAATTTGTCTGACTGCTCACAGCCCACGCTTTCCCCTAGGCTGTGCACGCCTCTGAAAAAGGAAGTAATAAGGGCAGCCTATGGGGGGCTTTGGAGGCCAAAGAACTAAAAGCTGGGATGGTCCTGCCCTCACTGGTGTGGCTCAGCGGGTGGGCATCGTCCTGCAAACCTAAAGGTCGCGCATTCGACTCCTGGTCAGGGCATGTGCCTGGGTTGCGAGTTCGGTCCCCAGTCAGGACACGTACAAAAAGCAACTGAACGATGTTTCTCTCCCTCTCTTTCTTCCTCGTTCTCCTCTCTCTAAAAGCAATGAAAAAAACATGTCCTCAGGTGAGGATCAAATAAAAACTAAACAAACAAAAAGCCTGTACGGTCCTTGAGTGCAGAGCGCCCTGGGGATTTGGGAAAGTGGAAAGAACAGTGCCAGAGCCGCTTTGACCCCTCTGTGGCCTGCGAATGGAGCTCGGGTTGGCCTGGCATTTTCCCTGGATCCAGGGCCGAGTGGCCGTGGTCTCGCGGAACCACCGGTTTTGAGGGCTCCCTGTGGGGCCCTCCTGGGGCAGGGAGTGGGCCCCGCCCACCCTCGGGTGCGTGCGGGACCCTGCGCTGTGAGGAAAACACTGGCATTTACAGACACTGGTCTCCAAACCACTCGGCAAGCCGCATTGAAAGGGTGAAGGCCATTAACCCTGCTGCCCCTGCCCCCCCCCAAAAGAAAACTTTGCTATCATCTAAGCGTTGAAGAATGACCTTCCAGGTAAAAGGACACAGCACAGCGCCTGGCACAGCTCGTGAATCCAGGAAATACTGCAGCAGAAATGCAGGAATCATTTTAACTCACAGCCACATAACAAGCAGGCTAAAGCAATTCCGCTGGACTTGGCCCTTCCCAAAGGCCCATGGGATTTTTTTTTTTTTTTTTCAAAGCACTGAGCTCCCACCGGAAAAAATCAGGGCAGGTAAACATACCCCTCAGCATGCTCTTTGAAATGCAAAGGCTTGCAGAAAAATGTGGAGCCCGAAGAAGGTCAGGGCAGATTGTTTTTGCTGTCACTCTTCCTGGGCTCCTGAGAAGTCAAGAAATGAACCGAGGGCCCCCCGCCCCACTGTGAGGATGAAAACCATCAAAATCAAGACATTCCAATCTACAGAGCCTCGCTCGGCCTGAAATAAAAGTATTGACTTAGTCCAGCGTGTTTTCCAAGACAAGGAATGATTTAAGCTCAGAGGAGAGGAAATACTGGTAAGTCATCAAGTTCATTACCTCCTGGGGAGAGAGAACAGGACCGGTTTAGTACCTGTTTCCCTATTTCCTCAGCCGTTGGAAATGCCACGACAGCCCGGCTCATCCTGGCCCCCACCCTGCGCAGCAGCCCACACAGGCCGTCCCCTGTCCTTGCAGTCAGATCACATAAATATCGCCGACTCACTTCTCAGCTGGAACCTTCCAGAAAGGCATCATCGCAGCCTGAAGTCTGTTTCCAACACAGGGGGAAGGTTGCAGCCGAGACAGGGCGGCCGTGTCCGAGCCCCGAGCCCCGAGCCCCTCGCGTGAATTATTTCTAAGTCACCAGTCTGTCCTGCCCGATGATGCCTGTTGGTCTGTGTTTGGCCGGTGCATCACATCTGGAGATCCCACTGTGCCTCAGACTGGCTTTGCAAGCTATTCGCCACGCTGGCGCAGCTCCTGCGACACAGGTTTGAAATGGGCATCTCCTCCGGCCTCTGTGCCCTGGGGCATCCCGGGCGCTTGGGTCTCAAACTGCGGATTTTGAGCTTGGTGTAGAATTTGGGGAATGAAGGACTTGAGAAATAATACACCAGGGGGTCCAGCATGCTGTTCATGTAGGTGAAGCTGAGGGTCACGTGGAGGGCCATGTGGACCGAGGGATCGCACACGCTGGAGGGCACCGTGCAGAGGAAGTACAGCCTGGCTGATATGCTGGGCAGGTAGCATGTGATGAACACAGCCGCCACCACCATGATGAAGCGGGTGGCCCTCTTCATCCGAGTCTGCCGGGCCAGCTGCTGCCGCTGCCTCAGGCTCCAGACAACCCTGAAGGAGCAAAACAAGATGATGCCCAGGGGCAGGAAGAACTCCAGCTGGAACATGATGTCGTGCCAGCCGTTGGCCGACTCCATGATGAAGCTCTCACAAGATATGATCTTCTCTTGCACACACAGGTGGCTCTCCATCAAGAGATACAGCGTCCCCAGGATGACCATGGCCCAGAGGGCACAGGCGATGCCGGCCGCTGTCCGGTTGGAGATGGCGTTCACCATGTGGTGGGGGTGGACCACTTTGAAGTACCTGTCCACGGCCACCACTGTGAGGAAGACGATGCTCCCGGCCCTGTTCATGGCCAGCATGAAGAGCGCAACCCGGCAGGGAATGTCGTCGAAGGCCCAGTGCCGGCCCCGGCGGTAGTAGTCCGTCCTCAGGGGCAGGCAGATCGTGAGGAGGAAGTCGGCCACAGCCAGGTTGAAAAGGTAAATGGTACTCGGCTTCCAGGTCTTCATGTGAAAGCAAAACCCACACAGGGCGATGCCGTTGCCCAGGGCGCCGAGCACGAAGAACAGGATCAGCAGCGGGGGCATCACCTGAGAGACGGGGTCCCCCTGGATGGGGCAGCAAGACCCGTTGTCCATGGCGGCCGGGGGGCAAGCGCTCTGTGTGCCCGGCGGCCCCGGGAGTCCCCGCAAAGACACAGACGCTTATCTGAGCACTGCCACTCACCGGGGGCTGTCTCTCTGAGTCCTCTCCGACCTGGACCGCACATGTGGGAGGACACAGCCGCAGGCAAACAGAAACCGCGGCGGGAAATCAGAGCCCAGGGATGTCTTCCTCCGGAGCCCGGGTCACGAACTGCCTGTCCCCGACGCGGGCCACCCTGCGAGGCTTTGCAATGCAGGTAATGTCGCGCAAGTGGTCGTTCTGGGAAGCAGTTGGCAGGTCCAATGAGGCTCGTGCCAGGGAGGAGTGGAGGGTCCAGCCCGGGATGACTTCTTTCCCCTGCAGCCTCTCTCTTGCTCCACAGGCTCTGTGCGCCGGGAGTGCAAAGCTGCCCAGAAGGCACGGAAAGAGCTTGTTTGTCCTTCCTCCCTCCGGGAGGAGAAGTACAAACATTTCCCGGGAGGGAGGGGAGCGGCCCGGGGCCTCGGCTCCACTTCCCTCCCCAACCTTTGCCTGACTGGCCCATTCCCCTCCCGCATCCCCTGGGGCCCTCCCAGCCACCCAGAGCCACTTCCTGTGCCCACACCCGACACAGCCCTCAGCAACCAGAAGGGTCTGCAGAGGAAAGAAGCTCCAAACACCACACTTGCTGGGTGTTAAAAACTTGTTCTGAAGGGAGCTGGCCTTTCCTCCCCTGCATTCACCACCTCCTTACCCTTTGCCTCCTTCCCTGGACCCAAGTGGCCCGTTGCACAACCCGCAAGCCCATGGCCTGGACCCGGAGCCACCGCTCAAGAGGTCGGCCTCCACGGGGCGGCCTCTGGGGGAGCGCGGCCTCTGGGGGAGCCCGGCCTCCCTGTGCTGTTGGCAAAAGAGGATTTGGCTTCCAGCTTCCTGCCGGCTGCTCAGAAGCGCCAAACACCACGATATATGTGCTTTTTTTATTTTACTATAGTGACGCGCTGAGCCCACCGGTGGGGGCGAGTGAGGGCTGGGGCGGTCGCTCAAAGACTCGATCTCTAAATTAGCGTGGGTTGCCCTGGCCCATGGGGCCCATGGGACGGTGGGCGCGTCGTCCTGTAACCAAAAGGCTGTGGGCACGATTCCCGGTCCGGGCACAGGCCTGGGGTGCAGACCTGACCCCCTTGCGGCGCATGCGACCCCTGGTCCAGACAACCGTTGCTTTTCTCTGTTCCTCTGTCCCTAAAGCAATGAAAAAAAAAAAAATGCCCTTGTGTAAGGACTTAAAAAAAGTTAATTAATCAGCCCTGGCTGGTGTGACTCAGTGGATTGAGCGCTGGCCTACGAACCAAAGGGTGGCCAGTTCGAGTCCCAGTCAGGGCACAGGCCTGGGTTGCAGGCCAGGTCCCTCAGTAGGGGGCACATGAGAGGCACACATTCATGTTTTTCTCCCTCTCTCCCTCTCTTCCCCTCTTTCTAAAAGTAAATAAATAAATCTTAAAAAAAAAAAAAGAAAAGAAGTAATTAATCATAGGTAAAATTAGACTGCACCAAAGTTGGAGTCTTTGCTAAATTTTCCGATCCCTTGGTTTTAGATACGATCTGTCTGTGCTGTGTCTTTCAGCGCGCAGGCTGGGCAGGGGCAAGGAGAGGGAATCAGCCTGCGCGCCTCCCAGATGCAGACTGGATTCTTCCCGCTGAAGCCCGGGCTCTGGGCGCAGCCAGACCCCATTCCCCACGACCCCACCCAGCCCAAACCACGGCAACCTGCCAGCTGTCGAAGCTGTTGCGTTTTCTAACTGGTTTCTTTTCCTCTCGCCTATTTCCTGTAATTCCTCTCCCACATGCGATGTGATTTTTCTAAAGTACAGATATGATCATATCCTTTTTAAAAAATTTTTTCCTTTCATTTAAAAGCCAGCATCAGCTCCCTTCGATCTGACAAGGTGATAGCTGTGTGGCATGTGAGCCATGTCTGGTTTGAAAACCAGTTTGATTCAGCCCACACGGTTTAAAAGCCTGGGACGGTCCTATTAAAACCTGCATTTCCAGCCTCCCTTGGGAAACGGTGAGCGCGGGCGCTGCGGGGCCAGCCAGCGGCCTCAGAGAGCAGCGCCCCCTTCAGGGCGGCCAAGGGTCCTGCGCCTCGCCGCGGCCCCACCGCTCCCCGTGCCTGCTCAGCCTCCCGCCTGCGGGCGCCTGGTCTCCGTGCGATTTTGACTTTGTTCCCTCTGCCTGAGGTGAAAGGTCTCAATCCTTGGATTAGTGCACAACGTCCTTTACAGGGGCCTCCCAAACCACCTTTCCAATACGATTGTCGTGTTCGTCTCATAACTTCTCATAAAAAAGTGTGTCCGTCCAACCTCTACGTGTAGCTGCCCCACTGACTCATCCATGAGGTCCTTGGAGACCATGACCTTGGCTGAAAGGCGAAGACCAGGGTCACTGTCCCCGAGAGCCCCCAGCAGCCACTTTCCCTCGGGGGCCTGGTGATTCTGGGAGCCGGTGTGTTAGCTTATGGGGTGCCTAGCAGAGGCTGTGACACCCACGACGAGGCTGGGTGGTAGCTCTGAATGCCTTCATGGGGCCAGCTGGATTTTTCAGGAAATGGAGAATGTTCTTCACTCTGGGTTAGCAGACGCTGCCGAGATTCTCATAGAAACAAGAGCTTCCCTTTTCCTGTGTGGCTGACACCTTTCTTTCTTTCTTTTTTTTTTCTTTTCCTTTCTCTCTCTTTTTCCTTTTCTTTCTTTCTTTCTGTTTATTCTATTACAATCATGGCAATATTCCCCTCCTTTGCCCCCCCTCCAACGAGCCCACCCTACACCTGCCTTTCTTTTCCTCATCCTCTCTTTCTCGTCCAATCGCCTTCCCTTCTTTCTTTGTAGAATTAGCTGGAAGGCAGAGGATTAAGAAAAGGGAAGTTTCTCATTCTCTGAAGATCAGTTGTCGAGCACGTGTGGGAAGAGGGTATGTGGGAAATCTGCCTTCCTGTGAACCTAAGGCTGCTCTAAGCCTTAACAAAATTCATACCAGAATTTATTACTGATCTTTTTTTTTTTTTACGCCTAGTTGTTACAGTGCTTGATGCCTAATGGAAGCTGTATTGACTTCTTGACACTAATATAATATTTGACACCAACGAAAAGTTTAGAAATTAAAATTTAAAAAGTAAAAGTAAACAAAGAGGTTTATTTAGTGGACCTCCGAGGTGTTTCTGGTAGATGCTTCCGGACCCCCCAGTGAGGGAGGGTTACGTGCTGCCTGAGGCTAAGTGTTGGCAGGAGGAGACACATGCAGGGTCCGGCAGAAGGAAGGCCTGCGTGAGCATGGTCAGTAGGGTGATAATATGGGGGTCATAATTTATACCTTTAATTGGAACATTTCACCTAAAATGTCATATGACGTGCTTGAGTGTGATACGGTTATGTTACGGAATTACATGCTTATGATTTTGTAATAAAAGAGGAACGTTATTTGTGCTGGACCCTCTACATAAATAACAAAGAGAAGCAAATAGAGTGATTTAAGGTAGTATTTTTTCAAAACGTGATAGACGTACGACAGATGAGTGAGATTATTTTAGGTGAAACAGAGTAATAGACACATGTCTCTTGGCTTTATGGCTATGACTTTATTTGAGTGTCTGTTCCAAAAATATCAGTGGTGCGGGGGGTTCAGCGCGTGCCAGAGTTAAAATGCTGAGGAGCAGAAATGGAAGGGGCCGCATCGCGCGCAGCCAAGAGCCTGGAAGCAGGAAGGCTGGAGGGGCCTCTGGGGAACAGAGGGGTCTGAATTTGGATCTCTGTCACAGAACTGTGAGGAATGACACAGACCGCGCAGACTGGGACAGGTCTGCAGGGGACCTGGAAGTCGGGGCGGTGGGCAGCCCTGCGTGGGGGCTTTGGTGAGGGTGGCGGAATAGTTGAAAAGGAGAGAAGGGAAGCAGCGGGCTTCTGCCCCACTTCGCGGTCCCCTGCAAGCCCCGGGGCCGCAGGCCTGCGCCTCTCGTCACTGGGCGTTCCGCTGGCTCAGAGCCCACGGTTCCCTTTCCCGCGCTTTCCCTGATGAGCCGGATGGGGACAGCACCCGGGTAACTGAGGCCCGTTCCCTTAAGTGCCAACACTCACAAACAAGTTTCTCATCCTCCTCCCCAGATTCCACAGCAGGTGAAGGGGCTTCACGCCGTCCATCGAATGGCTCACGCCCGGTTCCCTCCTCTAACGCCCGCTGCCTGCCATCTGTTGCTCACATGCACCACAGCCACTGCTGCCTGGGCTGGGCCAAACCTGAGGGGGAACGCAGCCGCCTCCCACGGGTCCTCCTGCCTCCGGCCTTGCTCCGCCTCCAGCCCATTCTCCCAGACTCACGTCGGATGCCAGTCGCCTGGTTGGTGCTCACCTGGGTGTGGCTCCCCGTTGTCCTTAGCAGGAAATTCAAGGCAGCTGGTGCCGCACCGCGGGACCTGGCCGCCACGCCTCCCTCTAGGATCCGAAGGCCGCCGTACTGGGACTTTGGGGACAGACGCCCCTCCCCGGGGCCTGGAATACTCCTCTTTGATCGGCCTAAGCCTAGACCGGCATCTTCCAGTAGAGGCTTCCACAGTGATGGAAGTGTTGGGAAGTATACACGTAGCTTCTGAGCCTTTGAAATGGGGCTAGTGGGAACTGAATTTTCCATTTCATTTTATTTCAATTAATTTAAAATTGAAAAGCCACACATGGTTTGTGGCCAACATGTCGGAAGCCCTGGACGCCACTTCCTGTCTCCCCCAAGCCCGCTGGAATCCCCCTCTGTGGTCAGGGTTGGGCCCCCCTCGCTGTGCGTCTCTGCTGCCCACCCGCGCCTTGTGCGCCCCCTCCAGCCCCTCTGCCCCCCGCCTGGCGTCCCCATGGAGCCCGCACTGGGTCTGATTCAGTGCCCCGCGCACACTCGGTGAGCACCTGCCCATTAAACAGAGGAACTACGGAAGGAACGGCCCCAGACCTTTGTGGCCACTGACTGCCTGCTGTGAGGA